GGGGGGGGGGGGGGGGTGCATGGAAGTGCTATGGACTCCCTAAAGCGGTCCGGGAGGGAGGCGGCGAGGTGTTGGGTCTCACCTCGCCGCTGTAAGAGGAGTGGCTGGAGAGAGGAAATTCCATTCTCCCTTGACCCAGGAAGGGCTATCCGAGACAGAAGGGCTTGGCCAGAAACGGGGTCTCAATTGGTCCCCTACTGGGGCGGGAAACTGGGGAAGTAACGCCAGAAATAGTTCCCTCGGCTCCCCAATAAGCCGACAATGAAGGCATCCGACAGAGGTTTTAGTGGGTAGGGCCTCCCCTTATCACGGGGAGTGTCACATAACTTGCTATAAGGAGTCCCACATAACTCGCTCCCCTCCCCTCCTAAGATGGTCGTGGATATGCGTAAAGCCTTTCCCCTACCTTAACAAAGAAAAAAAAGTGTCCCAGACTATTCGGACCACCCAATTTTTTCAAACGCGACATTTTAGAGAATTTGAGAGAAAAGAGATTTTCTGTTAATTTTTAACAAATTGACCTATCAAAATGGAATAATCTAATGCTTGAATGTTTTTTAAGTAATAAAAAAATTAGTATTTCATATTTTGTGTTGCTACGTGGTTTCAATCTTATAGCAATCTTATCCTATCTCTTATCGCATTATTCTCTGAATAACCTGAATAATCGAATTAACCCGAGTCAAAATTTCAAGTCTATTATAAGTCTTGCAGTACTAATTTATGGATGCTTTAATACATTTTTTGCTACAAGTTCTATCATATCGCTGCTAACGACGTTCTTTGGACTCTATAGTGATACGGAAACCTATAGATTTATAGCGCGGGAGGCGAAGTTATCCAGCGAGGTTACCTACTATAAACCTTGCAATGCTAATTTTTTAATATTCCTTGTGCTACAAGTTTGATCGTAATGTTGCTAACGACAATACAAAATATACTAAAGGATATTTTATTAAAAAGAGTTTAGAAGTTTTAGAATATTTTATTCTACTTCCTTTTTTATTAAGGGGCATATATAAATGTTATCGACTTCAATATAGATACATATTCATATTAAAGATTCTATTGAAATAGCTATAAAGTTATTAGTTTTATGGCATTTCTGCAAAAAGGAACTTGTGTCCGCTACATTATTATTACTTCGAGCAATGAATACATTGTCTGTCGCAATTTTCTATATAATTGCATGATGTTTTTCTCTTTGTTGATATCGACAGATCTGTTCGTTATACTTTTGATGCATAGTTTTAATAAAACATTAATTTCTCCAAAGTACATTTAATTTTCATTATTTACGTACAACACAATAAAAGATTTTGTGTATAAATCGGTTTTGTATATTTACGACATATATAAGTATCTATTTTTCACGTAATAATTTTGGAACATTGGTCTGAAAAATCTAAGTATTTTGTTTGTTAATTTTTCAGGTAAAAATTAATATTTTTTAATCCCTTTTTATTGTAATCAAAACATCAAAGTCTACTTGAACGGACTATATAAGTTTAATTGTAGAATCATAAATAGAAAAAAGAGTTCTAAATATTAAAACAAAAAATTTGTTTTGCCTAAGAAATTAACTTTTCTCGGATCTCGTTAGAGATTCAAAGTAATAACTTAGGATTAACCCTATATTATAATATAAATATATTATATGTAATATAAGTATTATATTATATGTAATAAAATGGGTAATGTAATAATACAAATAGTGTTAATTATAATAATAAATTACGTAATATATTGTTATAATTAACACTATTTGTATTATTATTTTACTCATTTTATTACATATAATATATACTTTATATTTTAATATAGGGTTAATGTTAAATTATCACTTTGAATTTCTGACGAGATCCGAGAAAAGTTAATTTCTTAGGCAACACAAATTTTTTGTTTTAATATTTAGAATTCTTTTTCTATTTACGATTCTACAATGAAACTTATATAGTCTATTCAAGTAGATTTTGATGTTTCGATTATAATAAAAAAGGGTTAAAAAATATTAATTTTTGCCTGAAAAATTAACAAACAAAAATGCTTGGATCTTCTAGAGCAATGTTCCAAAATTATTGTAACGAAGCGTTACTGAGCCCGTGTCTGAGGGCTCATCCACACCGGCCCGACCGAACATCCGTCGGGTCGGTGTCTACGGCGTTGAGCGCCACTTTAATGGTCACGTGGCCTCTCACCAACCCACACATGATCCGACGCCGCGGCGCTCTGGATGGGGACAACGCGACGCGGGTCCGTGCGGGTATAAAAGCCGAACGTTCGAGGCAGTCGGCACCATTCCCGTCGCTGCTGCCGCAACAGTCACAGCGACTTCCGAAGGTGTGCTCGCCTCTCGATGCCGTGCTCACGTGGCATCCTGATCCTGACTCTGTTCTACGACGGTGTGCTCGCCGTTCAACGCCGTAGTCACGCGGCATCCCTATCCCGCTCTACGAAGGTGTGCTTGCCTTACGACGCCGTGCTCTCGCGGCAACCTGACCCTGCTTTTCGGAGATGTGCTCGATTCCGACGCCGTCATCTTACGACATCCCGACCCGACTAGGCGACTTCAAGCTGCGAGGGATTAGGGTTGTGTGCTCGCCGTCTCTGTCGGTCGCTGTCGACTCCCCCAGCTCGGTTTCGTCCGAATAGCACTAAGATCGCGACTGTTCTCGTCCGATAGTTATAAGTCCGCTACCATTCTTCTTCGACTGATCTAAGTTCTCGACCGCGTCCGCGTAGTTCTAAGGCCGCGACCGCACCCATCCGTCTATGCCTATGTTCGCGACCGCGTCCGCCCGCGCCTTCATTGCGAGACCCCGCGTTCAGATTTAAGCCACGCTTGTATCTATGTACGTGAAGTTCCTTTAATAAATCGTTTTCTTGTTCTGTTAAACGAAGTGACGGTTATTCCTTCCTCTCGGTTCACCGATCCCCGGATATCCGCGAACCGTCCACGGCCTAACCTAACCTAACTCCTCGAGCGTGACGAACCAGCGCACCCTCAGCACTCGTCACATTATTACGTGAAAAATAGGTATTTATGTGTCGCAAATATACAAAGTCGATTTACAGACAAAATCTTCTGTTGTGTTGCACGTAAATAATGAGAATCAAATGTACTTTGGAGAAATTCAATGTTTTATTAAAATTATACATCAAAAGTGTAACGAACAGATCTGTCGATGTCAACAAAGAGAGAAACATTATACGATTATGCAGAAAATTGCAACTGATAATGTATTCATTGTTTGAAGTAATAATAATATAGCGGACTAAGTCCCTTTTTGCAGAAATATTATAAAACTAATAACTTTATAGCTATTCCAATAGAATCTTTGATATGAATATGTACCTATTGATGTCGATAACATTTATATATTTCTAATAAAAAAAGGAAGTAGAATAAAATATCCTAAAACTTCTAAACTCTTTTTAATAAATTGTTAATATTTTTTCGGGAATCTCTTACAGCATACCCACACAGCACACATTATTTATGATAAAGATTCGTAAATATTTATTTCAAATTATTTTTTAAAAATATTATAAATATTTTATGTACACATAAAAGAAAAAGTATCAAAATCTTTATTTAAAATATTATTAAAATATAGACTAAATATTTTATACAATATCTATGGTAAACAAAAAATAAATATTTGTAGTAATATTTTATAAATATTTTTATTGTAATATTTTATAGATATTTCTATAAATATTATATATGAAAAAAAATAAATTTAATTATTTATAATTATTAAATTAATGAAGAAATAAGTAAATCGAAATTTAAATTGGTAATGTATACACTGGGAAAAATTCTTTAAATAAAAAAAACACTGGGAAAAATTCTTTAAATAAAAAAAATATATCTTGTTAAATATAATTTCTTAACTAAAAAAATATTTGTTAGATTTTAGAAAACATCCAAGATAGCACAGAGAATTCAAAAAGAATTAAAAAATAATTTAGTCGTATGTCACTAATTCTGAGTTTATTTTCAGATACAAAAAAATTCTTCAGAATTTAGTGAAAAGAATTTTCATTAAAAGGATTTTTGCATCTAAAAATGAACTCAGAATTGGTGACATACGACTGAATTCTTTTTGAATTTTCTGCGCTATGTGAGATGTAATAAATATAAAGTAATATTTTTTTAAATTTGTAAAGTATAAAATTATAAATTTCTAGATAAAAAAATGATTTCTTTGATTTAAAATATCTATAAATAAGAATAAATAAATGATTTCTTTACAAGAAGAAAATTATATTTTTTAAATGTAAAAGTTGTGTTCAAATAAATATTTCCTTGTTTTAAAAATAAATAAAATACTATTAAATTATTTTATTATTGGGAGTGTGAATAAGTTCTCGCCGTTTCACCATCAGATGGCGGTATAAAAATTTTGTGTGTATAATTCAAGATGATGACGCATCTATATTGCAGTTCTATAACCTATGTTTATAATCAGTGTGTGTCTTTCCATTAACCTATAAAGAACATTTTT